GCCCAACCTTCCTTCCGAGGAGTGGCTGGTGGGTTTGAACCGCCAGCCGTCTGGTTAGCAGGCAAGTGTCTTAGCCACTATGCTACCAGAGCTCCCATATGAATTATACTTCAATAAAAAAATTTGATGTCTGGGAAAAAAGCAACTTTGGAAGTCATAAAGAAAAATCAGTTTTTTAATTTTAGTTCTTGTCTGATATTTACTACCTTCAAGGTAAAACAATTTGCATTCTACATATGCAAGTTTGTTTATAGGCCATAAAAGAATGTTTCTCTTTCTTTATTCTTCACTGGTGGGAATGCAAAATGCTACAGCTACTGGGGAAAAACAGTGTGCCATTCCTCAAAAACCTAAAAATAGATCTACCATATGACCCAGTAATTCCACTTCTAGGTATATATTCAAAGACTGGAAAGCAGAGACTCAAACAGAGATTTGTACATTGCAGCACTATTCACAATAGCCAAAAGGTAGAAATAACCTAAATGCCCATCAACAGATGAATGGATAAACAAAACATGGTACATATATACAACGTAATACTATTCAGCCAATAGGAAAGATGAAGTCTTGATACATACTACATTATGGACAGAGGTTAAAGACACTATACTGAGTGAAATAAGCCAATCACAAAAGGACAAATACTGAATGACCTCATTTATGTAAAAAGGCCAATGTGTAGACATCAAAGTTTATCAGTAGACACTAAGTTTATGTTAATGGTGGTGGAATAATTTAGAAAAGATAGTAAGAATGGTTGTACAATATGAAAAATGTAATCAATGTCATTGAATTGTACATGGAGAAATTATTAAGATAGTATATGTTTGCTTATGTATATTTTTACCACGATTAAAAAAAATGTGAGGAAAAAAATGTCTCTTACGGAAAAGAATGTTTCCTTTTACTTTTTATTTAAAAAATATTACCTGGCAGCCATCCTGATTAATCCACTTGTGCTGTACTTCATCTCTAGCACCATCACTGAGGCCAGCATGATAAGCAAGTGCAGCGAGACCATCTTTCTGTAATGTGTCAGCCATTGTGTCACATTCTCGTCTGGAGAGGCAGTAAATTATCCCTGAGTCATCTGCCAAGAAACCCAACAGAATTGCAAAATGAGGACTTTTAACAGAAATAACAACCCAATTTACATTATGTTCTTAGAAACATAGGAACCATACATGGATCTCCATATTTTTCTTACAGTGGAGAAAAATCACATAGACAAAATAATTCAAGGAATTAACATTTTGGTTTTTTATCTTTTCCCTGTTAATGACTTGTTAGGTGAACCCTGACAAGTCGTGGACTGTACTTCACACTGGCTATACAACAGGAAGGTGCCTTTTCACACACTTCATAGAAAGCATATGGCAATATGTACCAAGATTCTAAGAAATGTTTATACCCTTTGACCCAGTTCCCATCTAAGAAACTAACCTAAGAAAATAATTTGAAGCAGTACACATATTTATGCAAAGTTTTCTTATATTTAAAAAAATTAGAAATGTCTTATTAGACAACATTAAGGGAAAAATTAAGAAAGTTAACTGTGAAATGAAATATACTGTAACTATTAAAGGTATATCCATAGTTTTTAAAAGACATGGGAAAATGCTCAAGATACAAAGCATATAAAGATAGAAGGACACAAATTATACATATATATGGAGCCCTGGCAGTGTAGTGGTTAAAGGCATTTGGCTGCTAACCAAAAGGTCAGTGGTTTGAACCCACCAGCCGCTCTGTGGGAGAAAGATGAGGTGGTCTGCTTTGGTAAAGACTTATAGCCTTGAAAACCCAATGGCGGTCACTATGAGTCAGAACTGACTCGATGGCAGTGGGTTTGCTTCTCTCTCTCTGCACACACACACACACACACTCATATATATATAGTATGCTAATGGAAAAAATGCATCCAAAAGTTACTGTAAGGAAATAAGCCAAAATAACAACAGCGACTTATCTCACAGTGAGGTTTATCTTTTTATTTTTCTTTAATCTTATTGCTTTCTAAATTTTCTTCAATGAGCATATATTATTATTGCTCTTAATATATGTTATTTTTAAAATCAGAACATAAAAAATATAAAAGTCAATTCTGTGGCAGAGCCAAAGGGACAGGTGTACATACTAAGCAATTCATATTTGCTACCTTGCAAAGGTAGCCCTGGATAGGGAAATTATTTTTTCATGGTTTGATTTGCTTAAATAAGCATGTCTTCTAATTTTTAAAAAATAAAATAGAAATGTTTAACAAAAAATTCTCCATTGGAAAGTAGATAAGGGGTTATAAGGAAAACTGCTATGAATTTCAGAATCTCATTTTAGTTAATATATCTCAAAGGCAGATACAGTTGGAAGAAAGCACTAAAACAAAGAACCATATATTTCATATGCTGATCAAAGCCAAAGGATATACACTGAAACCAAGAATTATAACATAGTTGTGTAGGACAGCGTGTTTAATATGTTTTTTGTTAGGGTTTTGCTATCATCAAACCAAAGGAGATTTTACAATTCCTAGAACTGAAAGAGCTGCAGTATTCTGCTCTAGAAATAGTAAGTTAGTGTTATCAAACTGAGAAAAGAAATGTTTAATATGTAATGTTACATATTTTATTGAGATACTAAGAAGACATCTATTTACCATGTCTACAAATAATTCACATCGTGTACTCACATGGGTGATGCTTTCTGATCCATTCTAAGCAGTCAAATGCCACCTTTTTAGGCTTTTTTGGTAATACGTAATATTTCAGATTATGTCTGTTAAAACTCATGCTAAACCTGAAAAAAGTCCCAAACATAAAATTTAGTATTACAAGAAAACATAGTTTTAACCATCTTAAAACTACACAGCACAAACCTACCGACCAAGTTGTCTTAAGCTGAATAGTGTCACTGGCAGCTTTTATAATTGAAGACTGAAACGGAAGTTGGGTTAAGGGTTAAAGAAAAGAATGGTGATAGAGAGGGAAAGGACCCTATGCCTATGGGACCAGGTGCCAAAAAATTAGGACTGTAAAAGACAACAGGTAGAAAAGACAAGTCAGGAATCTAGTCTCCAAGAAGAGGCTGATTAAAAGCAGAGCTGGAGGAAATATTATTTAAAAGATTAAGAAAACTATAAAGAAAACATACATATTTAGGTCACCAATGTTTCCAAATTTTGACTATATACAAAAAAGGGCTGACTGCAGAACAGTGTAAGAAGCCCTAGACAGCACAGGGAAGACTTTTTATTTTATTTTGCTCTGAGTCCTAAAGAGAATGTGACTGACTCCAAGGCAGATGCGTTCCTCTTCTTCTGGTCTTTTGCAGTCAGCCACCCATTTCCTCCCTCTAATTTATTTAGGGAGCTCAGTCTCTCTGCTTTTCCCTCTCTTGTATTTCAGTCCCCTTCTGTCTCTGAATATATTTAGGACCACCAATCCTAAAAACAACAAAAGTTTTTCCTGATACTATAATTCACTCCAGCTGGCATTCCATCTCTCTCTTTCATGCTCTCATCCAACTCACCATATATCCAATTTCAATTCTCATCATCCCCATTCTGGCTTTTGATACCACCATTTTACCAAAAGTGCTTTCTCAAAGTCTTAAAACTAAAGAAAGAGAAATGAAATCTTGATACATACTACAACATGGATAAACCCAGAAAACATTATGCTGAGTAAAATAAGTTAGTCACAAAAGGACAAATGTCGTATGATCCCATTTATATAAAATATCCAGAGTTAGGCAAATGTATAGAGATCAAAGTTTATTAGCAGTCACCAAAGGAGGGCAGGAAGGAGAGGGAAAAGAGGACGTAACACTTAGCAGACTCCAAGTTTCTGTTAGGGGTGATGGTATAATTTAAGAATGGATAAAGATGATGGTTGAACAGCATGATGAGCATAATTAATGTCACTGTACTTTGCATGTGAAGATTATTGAAATGTCAAATGTTTTGCTGCAGATATATTTACCACAATTGAAAAACAAATAACCTTAAAAAAAGATGAGGGAATTGTTAGTGTCCTTGGCCCTGTGAGGACCCTCCACTGCCCCAGGTTCCAACTGTCTCCTATCCACAGCGGGGAGAGAACAAGCTAAGGTTTGAGCACAAAGATATCTGTGTCTGGGTTGACAGACGGAAACAAAGGGGAGATTGACCATAAACAGCAATGAGCTGCAGAAGGGAGGTTACCTGTGTGCACTGGGAGTAGGGATCAGAGGCAGGAAAGATGGGGAATAAAACCATCAGTGTTCTGTCTTTATATCTAAATCCAGGCTAAGATGGGTCCAGGTTTTGTTGCCAACAGTAGGACAAACTCCAGTTTAGTTCTAGAACTAAAGAATGCCTTGGATGTATGGGGCAGTCGCATTCCTTAAGGGACTGCTAAAGATAACAAGGCCATGTAATAGGCAGCAGTGATCTCCCAACTGCTGTTAGTCCATGCAGTGGCCTTTTTTTAGACCTCAGTCTCACTCTGTCACTCCTCTTTGGTGGCTAACTCTACTGAAAACCCTCTGTTAGTTCTCACAACTTTGCACTTCTGTGATTTCCTTCTTATATTTCTGATCTCTCCATCTCTTTCTCTTCTTCTTCTGTTTATTCCTTAAGTGAGAGTCATTCTCAAAATGCTTGGCTCTCTTTTCTTCTACATTATCTTCTTCAGGAACCTCACTCTCATTTTGTTAAACAGCATTTATACATTATTCCCACTGGTCCCAACTTTTGCCCCTAGCTTAGACCTCTTTTCAGAGAGTTCTTTAACTACAATCCAACTTCTTTTTTAGACCAATGGTCTAAAATTAGGGTATGCATTCACCTACCAGTTTACAAAGACTTTCTAAGGGTATAAATGGCTTTTTGAGAGCAAAGATGAAATTGAAATTGAAAGAAATCAATTTCTAGATCCTCAATTTTCACATGCACTTTTTCCTAAAACTGGCAAGTCTGAGACTATACTTACAGTCACAACATCCTGCAGGTGTCCCTTGCAACTTTTCCTGTTTCAATTGTCCTTCTCTCACTTCCCATAAGCAAACCGACCAGTCACTCAATCAACAAATTTTACTTTTTATTGACCCTGAATTTTACTATGATGCATTGTTCCAGAGTTATATAAACCTTCAGAATAGTAAATACAACAAATTAAAATATAGTATGTGTTATGGATTGAACTGTCCCCTCCAAAACTATGTGCTGCAAATTCTAACTTCTACGTCTGTGGCCATAATCCCATTTGGGAATGGGTTGTCTTTTTTATGTTAATGAAACAGGATTAGTGGAGGGTGTATCTTTTATATCTCAATTATCTTTTGAGATATGAAAAAGATTAAACAAGTAAACTAAGAAACAGAGATGGGTGAAGAGAGATGACAAGCCACATGAAGACTTCCCAGGAGCAGAAGCTTAAAATAGACAAGGACCTTTCTTCAGAGCAGACAGGGAGAGAAAGCCGGCACCCTGAATTCAGATTTCTAGCTTCCCTAACTGTGAGCAAGAAGGCACTTTGGTGGTGCAGAGCCTGAGGCATTTGACTGCTTACCAGAAGGTTGTTGGTTCAAATCCACCAGCCACTCCGCGGGAGGAAGATGGGGCAATCTACTCCCATGAAGATTCACCGCCTTGGAAACCCAATGGGGGCCACTATGAGTTAGAATTGACTCAATGGCAGTGGGTTTGGATTTTTTCTGGTAACCGGGAGAAAATAAATTTGCTTGTTGCTTACTTGTGTTATTTCTATTATAGCAGCACCAGATAACTAAGAAGTGGTGTAGGTGGCGCAGTGGTTAAGCACTTGGCTGGCAAATGAAAGGTTGGTAGTTCGAACGTACCAGCTGCTCTGTGGCAGTTTGCTTCAGTACAGATTTCAGCCTTGGAAACCCTATGCAGTAGCTCTACTCTATTCCATAGGGTCACACTGTCGACTAATCAAAGCACTAGAAATTCTTGGTAGGGCGTCATGTCTTTCTGTGTTTTACATACTTCTGTCAAAGGTGAAATATAACATCAGCAGTGAGCTCTTTTTGGAATGTTCTGATTTCAGATATACTGAGGGTAAAGTGGTGGAAGTCAAGATGATTTTAACCTTATGCGTCAAGATGATTTTAACCTTATGCGTTTGCTTCTTTCATCCCTATCGTCATAGAATGCATAGAGGCTTGTGAAACTGTTGCCAAACAAAACCATGTTGTTATCTTTCTTGTAATGTCATTTATATACAAAATACTCAGAGTTCTTTCTTTTAGTGTGTGAAATCACAGAACATGGTCTAGGAGACTGTGGCACAAAAGGCAGGAGATAAAAGACTGATACATCTGCGGACTTGGACTATTTTGATCATTCTCAGTTAATTATTTACATTAGCTGCTATAGCAAAGGAAACCACAGTACTGATAAAATTATTTATTAGGAAAAGAACTGCCTGGGAATACAAAGGAAAAAGATAGTCTCAAAACCTATTTGAGTGGAGTTGGGTAGAAGCAGGGACTGTGGATGAGCCTCTGCACCGACAGGAATGCTGCAATGACTGTACTAGAATGGTCTTATTGTCTTCTCCCCACATGTTAGATTCTACTTTCATTTTAGAACAATGTTTTATTCATAAAAAAAAAAAGCTTTGAATCAAAAAGAGACAATAAGAAGTATTGGCGAAAATGTAAAGTAATGGGAATTCTCATATGCTGTTGATGAGAATGAAAGATGGTGAATCTACTATGGAAAACAGTCTGGCAGGTCCTCAAAAAGTAAACACAGAGTTAACACATGATCCAACATTTCTACTTTTGGGTATCTACTCCAAAGGAACTGAAAGTATATATCCAAAAACTTGGACACAAATGCTCATAACAGCATTCTCTATCAAATGAGGGATAGATAAATAAAATGTGAAATATCCATAACAAAGGAATACTATTCAGTCATAAAAAGGGACAATGACCCTTGAAAACATGTTACGTGAAAGAAGCCAGGCACGGAAGAGTTGGAAGAGAATGGGATGTAATTGAATGGGTATGGGGTTTCTTTTTGGGGTGATGAAAATGTTCTAAATTTAGTTTATGGGGATAGTTGCACAATTTTGAATATATGAAAAGCTGCTGAACTGTACACTTAAATGGATGAATTTCAGAAATTGTATCTCTATAAAGATTTAAAGAAAGGCTTGGATGCTAATGCATTATATCTTAAGTAAACAGAGCACTGGATGCTCTGTTTAGCATAAATATTATTAGCTCCAGAGTGTCAAACTCACGTTACTTTAAAGAGATCTGTGAGGAAATGGAATCAACTCATGGGCAGCTCTTGTTACTTTTGGAACTGAGACAACTGTCATGGGGATGTGTATTAAAAGTTTATTTGAATTAAAAAATGAAGTCTTTTTTGGGGGTATAAAAATATGTCTAATTTAGGTGATTGGCTTGGCAATGAAGACTGGCTTTGCCAATTAGTTTACATGGTAGTCATTTTCCATTATTCAAAAGAGCTAAATCTGAAGCCCCAAAGTTTTGACAAAACTATATTTAAGACCTATTATATAATAAAAGCATTTTGTTAAAAATGTTTAATTAGAAAATGTATTCTAAAACCCTCCTGAATATACTAGGGTACAAACCAAAAATCAAAACCAAACTCATTGCCATCATGTTGATTCAAACTCATTGTGACTCCCTTGGGTTTCTGTGGCACTAAATCTTCACGGAAGTAGACTGCCCAGTCTTTCATCCACAGAGTGGCTGATAGACTTGAACCACCAACCTTCTGGTTAGCAGTCAGATACCTTAGGTTGCTTTAA